GTTCGAGAGCGAAACAAAATAGTTAGCCGCAAAATCAAAGCCAAAATATTGCCCAAGCCAAGTTATGACTTATGGCTTAAAAAAATATATACTCGTATGTGCACAGTAATACCCACACATCGAAATGACGCGTGTCGCTGGTTTTCTTCAATTTTCACTGTACTTTTATTTTATTTCGACGTTATTTTCGCTGCTTTGGCCGCGCTGCGTTGCGCCTCACCTTGAGCTTAATTTCGGTCAAGCAAAAAGGCGTTCAACATTTAATTAAATATAGCAGGCGCGACAGAGCCGCAAACAAACGGCCAGACAACATCGATTCGACCGACAGCCGCTAAAGTGGTAAATGGTCGAAAGCCGAGACCGCATTTAAATAAATCGCACTTCAAACGAGCGCCAACTGCATTGCCATTTCCATTTACATTTCCATTTCGATGGCCCCAAACGAAAGACTCAAGCGACGAACGCGAACGGCAGATGTTGCAGCCTCCGTGGCGCATGATTAATGCAGTATTTGCGCAATTTGTCTCGCCCGTTGAAATTATTGAGCGGACACGAGCATTCGGCAAACGGCAACAAAAGCCACAAAATGTAAGCAAATGAATTGCGATTTCTGCGCTTTTCAGCTTTCGTGCGAGTGAAATCCACAATCGCCAGGCGGATCATATTTTTAGATACCCTGGAAGAAGTTGAATGCTTGGGATCGATAGTTTGTTTAAAAAGTTACTATTCCTAGAACGAATTTAAATGGGTAGATATAATATAGTAGATAATGCTTTACAAAATATGCCACTCCTATACATTTTTAGTTTATTCTGTAATTACAAAATTAAAACCGTTTTCGAAAAGGGCAAACAATTAATTTTAAATTATAGGAAGTACAAAGATTTAAATTGGAAATACAAAGATCTAAATAAAGAATTATGAGAAAAGCATATTTTTAAAAACACGAGAGGTAAATCCGATTTTTCGGTCATTAGAAAACGTTTAATTCAATTAAATCGATAAATCGATTAGTTTTTAACACCCCTGGGTGCTTAAAGCCTCGAATCGAAAGCCATTAAGCCAAATGCAATTTTCTCTGCTTTTCCATTTGGACTTGCTGTTTCTGTTTTTGCGCAAGACAATTGAACAAATCCAATCGTGCTGCTGGAATGCAGTTGGCTTGTCTTTACCTGGAGCCACCCCCAACCCCTTATCCACCGGTCCACCCCTCTCTCTTTCTATTATTTATTGACTTTTATTTGGTGCTGTCGTAACCACAGGCGCAGACTTTGGCGCGGCTTTTAGGCCAACAAACAACAACAAACGCACTCATGGCCCAAACTGAAACCAAAGACTTGGCGGCTCTTTAAAGCCAAGAAAGAAAAGCAATCCCCAGTTACACAGAAAAATAGATTTTAAGCTTTCCTTTACAATTTTTCAAATGAATTTCAACTGACCAAGGTATCATTAAATACTATATTAAAATAAATTGTAATACAAAACCAATTGGCTAGAAAAACATACAATATTTTTCAAAGACAAATCGAAATACCTAGAATACAGAGTCTTATTTATTTCTATCAATAAGTAAAGACTGCTTTTGCATATCAAGAAACGTGTTATTGCCAGAGACTTCTAGAAAAGCCTCAATGCTGAGGAATTTTCCAGGCCATTTTCAAACCGAACGACCATCGTATCTCTGGAAATTTCTGTGTTATTCAAAGCAAATTTGATCTGAAAATAAAGGCTGCTCATTATGCGGCTAATAACACTCAGTTTCGATCAGTGTCGAGCTCCGGCGACTTGGCTTTGCTCCAGCGAGCCGTTAGTCAACATGGACACCAGCTAATGATACCGCCACACAGCCAAACACAAACACAATGGACATTTGTAGAAAACATTGCAATGCGATTTGGACAATCGCCCCGAAATGGACATGCCAGCAAAATATGTACAACACATTTTACGCAAGAATGCAATTGAAAGATGATTTGCTAAATTTGAACGCTATATAAGTGCACAAGTTTCTTGGGCAGATAAAGATACTTTCGGTTCTGGTAATTTTCGCTTTCGCACAAGGAAAATGAAAGGCATTTGAGAGGCAAAGGCCCGGTTTCTCTTTACGGTCATTCCGTTTATTTCCGCGCCCAGTTTCAGAGACTCCGAGATTTTGAGTTCCCCGAGCCAAAGATGCCCAGATCCAAAGCGAGAGCAAACCAGTTGGTCCAGACCAGTTCGGCTTTATGGCTATGGGGCTGAATAACTGACTAACTGGCTAACAGGCCACACGCGATAAGGAACCTTTTGCGTGCTTTGAGACCAAATAATTTATGCATCGTTTGCGGACGGCTAAAACATTTAAATAAATAGCCGAAAATAAGCCCAAACCAGTTTCACTTTTACGACTCCGGATCGACTGCGTCCCATCTCAGATCGGAAAGATCGCCGTTCTAAGGAGATTAATGGGCGGACTAATGGCGGGGGACGTTCATAAATTAGCCAAGTTAGTGACACGACCTTGAGCATTTCTCTGGAGAATACCCAAAAGCTTTCTAACTGTAAGCCCCGACCGTTAGCAATCGACTCACGATTGTGCCAATTTGGGCCATTTCACCATTTCTACAGTTCTGCAGTTCCATTACGGCTAACTGTTTGTGGCCCAGGGGCGATTTGCATAACCCAACGTTGTGTAAGGTGTTCTTAATGGAGATGCCCCCTGAATGCCTAAACAGGCAATGAAAATCGGTAATGGCCCAAAGAACCCGGCAAATGGATAAGATTTGAGTGTGTTTACCCAATATATTTGCAAACAACTTAGGCAAGGTGAAAGGTTCATAGTTTTGTCAATGGTCGGTTAAGATCAAAGCTTGTTTTGCTAAATATTCAAATTAATTCGTATATTTGGCTTAGGATTCTCGCATTAGTTATAAAATAAAATGTATTAATTGTTGGCAAGTGATAAAAGCAGGTTTCTATATGAATTCTAATTAAATTAGCTATTTTTCTTGAAGCTGTATAGCTTATTCTTGGAAATAATTCTCTTCTGACATAAGTACATGAAGATTTTTTCTGACTTAACTCTAATTCTATTAGTTATTCTATACACTCAAAAAAAAAATCACCATAAATATTAGAAAATCGCCCGTGATTTCAAAACGCCATTGAATTAAGAAATATTTTCTTGATTATAGAAAAAATGCCTACAATTTAAGGAATTCGCCATAATTTTTTTTTTTTTTGTAATTAAGAAGAGGAAGAACCGTATTTTTTTCTTAAACTAATGGCGAATTTTTCTTGATATTTTTTCTTGAAATAATGGTAAATTCTTACTTAAATTTAGGAAAGAATTACCCATATTTTAAGAGAAAGTGACTTTTTTTTATACATTTTGATGGTGGTCTAGCTGGTAAAGACGTCCGGTCAATAAACAATCGAACAAAAGTACCTGGTTCGAGCCCACGCCACGGCAAGTGAATCCTTTGTTTATTTATTTTTCTTTTTTTTTAAATTTATGTAATTTTTATTCTTATTAGTTTCACTTTTCTATTTACCAAATTGTTAAAAAGGTTTAGATTAGAATAAACGTTATTGGTATGCGTAAAGCTGGACCAAAATGATCTTAGACCTCTTTAGTCATTGTATGACAAGAAGCACGCGTGGCCGAATGGTTAAGACGTCTGGCTATGGTGTGAGCAGTTGCGGGTTCGAGTTCACGCCGGGGTTGTCTGAGGTAAGGATTTTTCCAGTTGTTATATTTATTTATATGTTTATAAAAAGTATTTATATAAAATAAATCTTTAATAAATTCAGGTAAATATAAAAATTTACAGACTGTATTTCTATGTAATAATTGACATTAAAATTAGAAACGGTTTTAACCATTTAAAATCTAAAATTGGTATACAAAACCAACCAAAATTCCTCAAGTGTAAAAAAAGGTAATCTTAGATTATAAATATCTTTTTTCTTATTTTAAAAAAATTTTCCTTAATTTTAAGGTTTTTTACCATACTTTTAAGAAAAATTTGTCATTATTTCCAGAAATGGCAAACCATAAATTCAAGAAAATTATTTATTTAAAATAAAGGTGAGTCGCCGTTGGATGAAAATCATAGGCGATTTTCTTGATTTAAAGGCGAATTTCTTGATTTAAGGGCGATTTTTTTTTTGGGTGTAGCTACTATTGGAAATAATTCTCTTCTGACATAAGTACTTGAAGATTATGCCATAACTATAATTCTTTTTGTTATTTCCTTGGCTTTATACTCTGTTACTCATATACAAAATGCATAAAAAATACCATATGATGACTGGACCCTCCCATTATTCAAAATATTTTGTCTCTACTTTATCAGGGCTGTCGCAGAAACATATCTCAACTAAATTGCAATAAAAAGTTTAATCAGGTGTCCCAGAAAGTGAAGTGCCCCACCTGAATTCACCTTTTTCCCATCACTTCGGTTGGCCCTTGGGAATGGGGAATGGCATCGGCTGGAGGTCGAACTTACTTTCAAAGTCGAGTGACTCTTCAAAACGGCTAATAAGTCTGCCGAAGTGCCGGCGAAGATGTCAGACAAGTTTTAACAGTTTTATGAGACAAACTGTCTCATCCGAACAATGGACGGTTGTGACAGTCGTTGTGAATAATTATGAGCAACGGGTTAATTGTTAATTAGTTGGCCGGGCAATCGAGTCAAAAACTTTGGGCCCATTGTTTATATTTTTTTCATTTTGAAGCAAAGCAGGTCGGCCAATCGTGGAAGTGGGTCAATGTCAAGACGTGTTCGTCCGCTTGTGACTCGTGTGGGCGCCAAAGGGCTATCCGATCCGAGTCCGAGTGACCTCTGTCTGTCACCTGGAGACCTTCATTTTTTTTTTGGCTCAATTGGGGAGGCAACAAGTGCCACGTAATTTGCCGAAAGTCGACATGCCCCCCCACATAAATCACAGATTATTAATCGTACATCAAAGCATAAGCCCGTGATTAATTAACCCTTGTTTCTGTTTCTTTTCCACAGTTTCCACCGCGGTTGCTGCGAATCGCATTTGTGATATGCCTGCTGATTGTCTTGCTCTCGCCCTCCACAGACAGTGCACAGAGTAAGTAAAAATAAAGTTAAAGAAAATACGACATGAAATCAACTAATTGGAAGAAAGGAAAAAAGGCAAAAAACAAGGGGACACCCGGGTTTGAACCGGGGACCTCTCGATCTGCAGTCGAATGCTCTACCACTGAGCTATATCCCCACTTATGTAAAGAGCGAGAATTTACCCAAGAAATCAAAAAGTTTACTCCTCAATCTTAATGTGTGGGCGGGGCAGTCTGTGACTATTTTTAGTTTTCCGCTTTTGGACGGAAATTGATAAACATTGCCTTTGTTGTTACCATTTTTCTGTGATTGTCTTTATCTGCGTCACTATCACCCAGCAACCAGTTCAACAATTGCTTGTTGCTTAACCCTACAAGTTAATTAATAGAAAGGCAGAAGGGCGTGGTAGCCAATCCCATCAAGACAACATCAAAACCTAATTAGAAGAGTTAATTAAAGAAAATTAATGGTTTTGACAAAACAGAAGTCAATATGTTGCACTTCAGACAACTTGCTTAAAAGGATAATTAGTAAAAAATAATAAATTGAAGAAAACTTGTCAGCTTAAGCAATTTAAAGGTTAAAGGTACCTGTGCATAAATATGTTACAGTTTAACGAAATAAACAAAAGGAAATTAAATTTTATGAACAATTTTTAAGTTTACTTAAATATTATTTTTATTAAGAAGAAACGCTACAGTCGAGTGCCTTGAGTATCTCAAACCCGTAACTCTGTTCGTTGATATTTTATCATTTTATTTCTAGTCCCTAAATTTTGAACGTCGAAGAATTTTGTAATTAGTGAAACTAGGCTGAACCAAACTAACTCTTATATTGCCCAAGATCTGAGCATTTATATGGACAGACGGACATTTATAAATTGACCCAACCATTGATCCTGATCGGGAATATAAATACTCTACAGAATTTGTACAAATTGTACTATCCGATCGACGATCGATATCAAAAAGGTTCTAAACATGCTGCCCCCAATTTCGTCGATCACTTTCACACAGCCCGGCTAGCTCAGTCGGTAGAGCATGAGACTCTTAATCTCAGGGTCGTGGGTTCGAGCCCCACGTTGGGCGAAATCTTTTTTGTTGATTTCTGTTTCTTCTATTTATTTTTAAATTAAAAGATGTTTCAAGTTTAAAGATTTAACATTAACATACTTTTACAATGATAGCATTGAATGGGGAAATTGATGAGATCGCATCTCAAACCTCCTTGTTTTTCGTGGTTAAAAGAAAAATAGTGTTCTTTTGTTTATCTGACTTGCTCACCAATTAGTTCCGTTTAATTTAACAAGTTCGCTCAGTTTAACATGCAGATTATAAAGAAAAAACATAATTTAAAACGTGAAAAAAAATGTCGCCCAACGTGGGGCTCGAACCCACGACCCTGAGATTAAGAGTCTCATGCTCTACCGACTGAGCTAGCCGGGCTGTAACGATCGGAGGACTAATGTCAAGAAAACCATTTGAATGCATCATTCATATTTTAAATCTGGCAGGATCAAAAATAACAATTTTCATCTGCCAGATCATTTTAAAAAACTCCTTGGAAGCAGAAAAACTAAAAAGTGAATTTAAAAAAAGAAAAACTAAGCAAAAAACAAGGGGACACCCGGGTTTGAACCGGGGACCTCTCGATCTGCAGTCGAATGCTCTACCACTGAGCTATATCCCCATGTTGGCAGCGAGTGGCTAAAGTGACAGTTGAGCACAGAAGTTACAGTTGCGGTTGCAAGCGAACATGTTCGAAGACAAAAATAGTTGCTCTTCTTTTAAAACAGAAAAATAACTACCTGCTCTGTTGGCTTGCCAATTAAGTTTTAATTAGCCAACTTACGTAAAGACAATGAATAAATCTTTAAGCAAAAGCATACTATTTAATTCTTCCACGAATAATTAACAGCAAATTTTAACAGTCAAATAAATTCTTGAGAATTATTGGCTGAAACCATAAATTGTTTTTCTTGAGAGTGAAAATTTGCAATTTATTGATTAATTATTTTAGGTTTGTTCTTAGCGGAAAATCAAAAAGGTTATTATGTAAGGACAGAGCCAAAAAAATAAAAAATACCGAGTCCAGTTGGGCGGCAAAAAAGTTTACCAAGGGGACACCCGGGTTTGAACCGGGGACCTCTCGATCTGCAGTCGAATGCTCTACCACTGAGCTATATCCCCAGATGATGTTGGAGCAGTCAAACGGCAACTAGACGCTCGCCAGCTAATATTATCCACAGGCGGACCCCGCCCACCCCCACAATCACCAGCCCCCCTACTCAACCATACTCAAAATGAGGTGTACTGTGTTTTGTGTGGGCTTGCGCAGTGGAAAAATGCAAAAGATACGGCCATTAAATGAAATATTTAAACAGGTTTAGCAATAATTTCGCATTGTTATTTCTGCTGCAGCAATACCACTTCATTTAGCGAAATTAAGCAGAGAAATACAAACGAAACCGGTGTGGGGGGCCAGCGACTCAATTTAGCCGTTCCTTTAATAATTATAAATGTATGTTTATTTGCAAAGACCCAAGAGTAATCTACGTTCGATATCTTAATTATTAAGACAGAGCTTAGTAAATCCCAACGTCACGACTGTCGATGAATTCAAGCTGAAGATACATTAATTTGAAATTATCGGCACTCGTCGATCGCAAGTGGTTGACAATCCATCGCAATTGCCATTACGACCGCGATTGAGATCGAGATTGCGACAACCCGTCATTACCATTGCCACATTGGCGGCTGATGGGGAGTTCAGTCGTGTGACAGGTGCCAGCTACCTGTACCTGTACAGTGAAGCCGCCGCTTCCACTGCGGATTGTGGAATCTGGGCAAGGTCAAGTTGATCACTTTGTGGGTCAAATGTGGGCGAAACTCTCAGTCAGATGGGAGGCTGCTGAACAATAAATAACTTTGAGATGGGAAAGGTTTCAGTTTAAGCAGATGCATTTTACGTCGCTTTTCATTCATTTAAAGTAAATGCAGACTAAAACTTTAGATAAACCCTATTTTTTACTTCATCAAATAAGATTCTGATTTAGAATTTCTTATCGCTAGTCACAGATATTATTACACTCAGAAAAAAAATCAAGTATTTCGTGCTTGAACCTAGTATTTTCGGTGTCAAAACTTCGCCAAGCATGGAAAATACAGAACCAAAGAACAAAATACTTCTTTCAAGCACGAATTTTCAAGTCCGCAAATTCTTGGTTTCAGTACGACTCAAGAACGCTGAGGATTAAAATCAAGTATGGAGCTTTCTCAAAACAATAATAAAGTATTCTTAAGTCTAGATATATATATACTTGAAATAAGTGCGATTTATTAATAAATTAAGAAAATTTTAGGCTTGATTTAAGCACAAACAATTACTAAACCCAGTAAATTATACTCTTGAAGCTAGAGTAAAAATACTAAGTTCAAGAATATTTCATTTTTAAATTAAGACAATATACATTTTAAGTTAAGCAGGAATAATTATTATATTAAGATCACATCATGCCAGACCTAAGAACTGTTAGTTCTTAATACCGGATCCCCCATTCTTAAAACAAGGTATGGTAAAACTCAATTTCAGAAACATTTATACGCTTAGGAAGTTATTGTTTTGGTTTACATTTTATTGTACATGTTTACTTTACAGTTGATACATACGCTTAAGAAGCTATTGTTTTGATATTCATTTTATTTTACATTTTTATTTTACATTTTCTATATACGCTTAAGAAGCTGTTGTTTTGGCTTAAATTTTATTTCACATGTTTATTGTTTCTATATATACTTAAATTTAAGATACGATTTTCTATTGTTTATTGTATAAATTAAATTAAAATTCGTTGATCTCACAATCGAAAAGACCAACTACAATAATAATAGGTTTTAATTTAAGACCCGAACTGTAATACTTGTTTATGACTCGGTCCAATTGAATATCTAAGTCATTAATAGTTACTAGTCTCAGCACGAAACTCTCCTGCGCGTCCAGTATTGTAGCCTTTCTTGTACATTTTCCATCTTCATTCTTGAAGGGGGCTGATGAGGGCAAAACAGCATTCAGCAATGTGGCGATTATGAAGTCCTGGGCATCTGTTATATTAGAATAGTTTATTATTATATATTTATAATACAAATAAAAGGTATAGTATTCGCTTTGTCAAAAAAGCGGGTATAAATATGATTAGTATTAGTATAAAAACAGTATTAGTATAAAAACAGTGAATCACAAAATAAATTCAAACTTTTCTATGCTTAGTTATTAAATAACAAGAAATGTTAAGCTTACCTATGTTGGTGCAGTTTTTAACAAGCAAGAGTTGGGCTTTGCAATGTTCATTAATGATGTTGTCTTCGTAATAACACATTTTTTTTGCCGAAATTCTTGCTACTTTGAAAGCAAATGAAAACCTTTTCCAGGATACATAAGGTCGAAATCAATATCAATCTTGAAAAACAAAAATATATTTTTAAAATGTTAAAGACAAGAAAAAAAGTTAACTTCGGCAAGCCGAAGTTTGTATACTTTTGCAGTTATAAGAAATAATCAATGTTAGTAACACAATGTTAAATTTTTAAGGATTGTTGCTAGAAGCGGACGGACAGGCGGACATGGCTAGATCGACTCGTCTAGTGATGCTGATCAAGAATATATACTTTATGGGGTCTGAAACCTCTATTATACCCTCTGCAAGGGTATAAAAATAAATATATATTTTTTTAAAATTAAATTCTAAATAAGAAAAGCAAATCAAATTATTTATAGCATTATGTTTTTACCTTAACGTTTATCTGGCTTGGGAGAACAAAACATATTTCCTCTAGCAAGGTTTGGAAATCTGGAACGCTAATCGTAATGTTTTCGAGCATGGCCTCTTCTATTATAACAGAAATAAGTTCGTCCCGAAGCATTTGGGGAAGATAAAGATGAGTCTCTTCGTGTTCCAAAATCTTCATGCCCTTTTGAGACTCATTAAGTAAGGAGTGCAAACATATTCAAAATGAACTTTAGGGGAGCCTTGATGTCTGGCTTGACAAAAGAGGGTAGTGGCGCAATTTGGTCTTCATCTCCACCCTGCAAATTAAAAATACTTTAAACCCTATTCTTGAACTATTTGGCTAATAACGTACCTCAGACTCCTTCCATCTGAAGAGTTTTTGTCTAAACTCTATGCGCAGACCTAATGGAGGCACTGCCTCCTTAATGTCATCGGCGTTCATGTATTTTAGCTGCTCGATGTTTACTTTTGCAGCTAAGTTGATGCGCATAAATATCTAAATTTATGTAAATATGTAAGTAAAGTAAAAATATAGGTTTAATTGATGATATTGACAAGGGAGTTAAAGTTTATGAACATACACATATTATTAGCTGGCGTCTCAACTAAGCTAAAGATACGGAATGGTAATACATAATATTCATACATAGCTGTAAAACATTGTGTGTGTGTGTATATACATATTTGTGTGCGTGTGTACTTTTTGAGATTCAGAAACGCATTCCTGCCCTATTTGCTTTATAAATTATAAAATATGTCTTAACTTTAAATATGTATATAAAATGTACATAAATACGTTTGTAATAAGCGGTAATAACATTTCCAGAATCTCAGAAATTCTGTAATGGGTTCTTTCACAAATAACTGTAAGCACGTGTTTCACGCGTAAAAAGAGCATACGTACAAACAAGTGTACATATATATAATTTTGCCGATATTCGGCGACATTCCGTTTACATAAAAAATAGGAATAGAAACACACCCGGACCTTTTTCAAGAAATAATGTAATTCCACGAAATTTGATAACTGTGCTGACCAGTACGCCACTAGTCGGCGTTTCTATTCCTATTTTTTATGTAAACGGAATGTCGCCGAATATCGGCAAAATTATATATACATATGTACACTTGTTTGTACGTATGCTCTTTTTACGCGTGAAACACGTGCTTACAGTTATTTGTGAAAGAACCCATTACAGAATTTCTGAGATTCTGGAAATGTTATTACCGCTTATTACAAACGTATTTATGTACATTTTATATACATATTTAAAGTTAAGACATATTTTATAATTTATAAAGCAAATAGGGCAGGAATGCGTTTCTGAATCGCAAAAAGTACACACGCACACACATGTGTATATACACACACAATGTTTTACCGCTATATATTAATATTACAATTGCACCAAAAAGCGCGTGCTTTTCTTACCTGTTAGAAATGTATGCACTTCCTCAATTTCCATTTTTTTTTTAAGTTTATATAGAGGATCCTCTCCACGTTCTTCTTCAGCCATTTTGATCATTTTTGGTTTCACTTATGTATGTTGTATGTTCACTTCAATTTTATTCACAGTGCCGCGAAAACGCTTAAGTCAATTGAGACGCTTATAAGACAAGTGTGACCGTTTCACTATTTTAGAAAGAACGGCGAGAACGTCAAGAAATCCAAAAGCTACGGTCAGCCGATTAAAATTTAACATTCATTAAAATGAAAAAAAATCTTTTTAAATTGGCATTTCAAAATGCTAGCCATAAATGTATGTAACTTTTTTTAAATCAAATAATTTTATAGTCTAATCGTACCCTTTATCGAAGAAGAAGATTTTTACACCCTTTGACAAAAATTAATATTTTTTACCTTATTAAATTAATTGCAAGTATATAAGGATGTTTCCAGTTATTACCTGTCCCAAATTTTTTAACCAGAACTTAATTTTTTTTTTCAAATAAACTTGCCAAGCAATGTTTGTGCTATTATTAAGTTCTATTCGGTCTTGAACTAAATATTATAAGTCTTAATTTGAATACTTCTGTACTTCATTTAAGAATTTTTTCTGCTTGATCTTATTTGAATCCAAATTGTACTCAATTTAAGAATTTTTCAGTACGAACGTTCTCAAAAAGTTCAGCATTAAATCGTTCTTAAGTCAAGGCTGTTTGTACTTCTTTTTAGCGCGGCGTTTTTCCCTGAGTGTACTTATAAGAACTATTATACATACATGATATGATATACAACGTCCCATGTATAAAACTGCAACTTAAAGTAGTTAGTAAATCAAAAGGCACTCTATATAATCCTATTAAACCAATAATATTTAATATTTGGTACTTCTTAAATTCTAGCCAAGACACGTCGGCGCCTGAGACGTCCCACAACATCGGTCAGCTCGTCGAGGAGCAACCTGGTCGAGTCCAAGAAGTCCACTGAGGCTCCGGAGGCGGAGAAGCGTATTGACCAGATCACCTCCGCCACCACCACCAGTGTGCGCCGAACCCGTCTCCGTTCCAAGGCGAAACTGGGAGCAGCTGCAGCTGGAGGAGCAGCGGCGGCTGTTGGAGCAACTGCCCTGGTGGCCAGTGGATCCTCGTTGAAGGGCAAGAAGACCAAGGTGGACGATGGCACTCCAAAGATCGTGTGCTACTACACCAACTGGTCGCAGTATCGCGTCAAGATTGGCAAGTTCGTTCCCGAGGATATTCCAGCCGATCTCTGCACCCACATTATCTTCGCCTTCGGCTGGCTGAAGAAGAACAAGCTGAGCTCTTATGAGTCCAACGATGAGACCAAGGATAATGTGCCTGGACTGTACGAACGCATGATGGGTCTGAAGAAGGCCAATCCGAAACTGAAGGTGGGTTATATTGCAATTCTCGAATACTGAGATTTACTAAATGTTTTCCCTGATACTTTTAGATTCTTCTTGCTCTTGGAGGTTGGTCCTTTGGTACTCAGAAGTTCAAGGACATGTCAGCCACGCGATACACCCGCCAGACCTTTGTCTACTCTGCCATTCCCTTCCTGCGCAAACGCGGCTTCGATGGTCTCGACATGGATTGGGAATACCCCAAGGGTACCGATGACAAGAAGAACTTCGTCCTGTTGCTGAAGGAACTGCGCGAGGCCTTCGAGGCTGAGGCCCAGGAACTGAAGAAGCCGCGTCTCCTGCTCTCCGCCGCTGTGCCCGTTGGTCCCGATAATATCCGTGGTGGATATGATGTCCCTGCCATTGCCAGCTATCTGGATTTCATCAACCTGATGGCCTACGATTTCCATGGAAAGTGGGAGCGTGAGACGGGACACAATGCCCCACTGTATGCTCCGTCCACCGACTCCGAGTGGCGCAAACAGTTGTCCGTGGACAACGCCGCCAGTCTGTGGGTTAAGATGGGTGCTCCCAAGGAGAAGCTGATCATTGGAATGCCCACCTACGGCAGATCCTTTACCCTGGCCAATACGGATAAGCATGGTCCCAATGCCCCCGCCTCGGGAGGCGGACGCGAAGGTGTCTACACCAAGGAGAGTGGTTTCCTGGCTTACTACGAGATCTGCGAAATGCTGCTGAATGGCGCCGTCTATGTGTGGGATGAGGAGATGAAGGTTCCCTATCTGGTCGATGGAGATCAGTGGGTGGGTTTCGATGATGAGCGCGCCATCAGGAACAAAATGCACTGGATCAAGTCGAATGGCTTTGGAGGCGCCATGGTCTGGACCATTGACATGGATGACTTCAAGGGAGAGGTGTGCGGTGGAAATGTTAAGTACCCCCTGATTGGAGCCATGCGAGAGGAGCTTTTGGGCATCTCGCGAGGCAAGGAGGCCAAGGATGTCAACTGGACTGCCATTGCTGCTACTTTCGAGGATATTGAAGAGGTTTGTTTGCTCATTTTTTATAGGGAAATCGAAGACTTATCTTCTTTATTTAAATTCCAGAAACCCGAACCTATTAAGATCTCTGTGGATGAGGTTCTCAACAAGGTGCGCAAGCCTCAGGCGCAAAAGAAGCAGCGCATTAAGTCTGGAGCACATGCTGTCGATACAAACAGTGAGTTTACCAGAAGTTCTAAGCTCCGAAATCAATCTCTAAGTTATTTTCCTTGAATTCTTCCAGCTCGTCCCGCCCAGGTGTTCTGTTACCTGACCAGCTGGTCGGCCAAGCGACCTGGAGCAGGCAAATTCCAGCCGGAGAACATTGATCCCAAGCTGTGCACCCACATCGTTTATGCCTTTGCCACCCTGCAGGATTACAAGTTGACCGAGGCCACCGATGATGATCCGGAGAACTATGAGAGTGTGATTGCCCTTCGTGATGCTAATCCCGATTTGCAGATCCTTCTGGCCATCGGCGGATGGGCCTTTGGTTCCACGCCCTTCAAAGAGCTCACCTCTAATGTGTTCCGTATGAATCAGTTTGTCTACGAGGCCATCGATTTCCTGCGCGACTATAAATTCAATGGTTTGGATGTGGACTGGGAGTATCCCCGTGGTGCCGAGGATCGTGTGGCCTATGTCAGTTTGCTGAAGGAACTTCGAGTGGCTTTCGAGGGTGAGGCCAAGTCCTCTGGACTGCCACGCCTTCTGCTCACCGCCGCCGTGCCCGCCTCCTTTGAGGCCATCGCCGCTGGCTATGATGTGCCTGAGATCTCCAAGTACCTGGACTTTATCAACGTGATGACCTACGACTTCCATGGACAGTGGGAACGCACAGTGGGCCACAATTCACCGCTGTTTGCCCTAGAATCTGCCACTGGCTACCAAAAGAAACTGACCGTTGACTACAGTGCCAGGGAGTGGGTGAAGCAGGGTGCTCCCAAGGAGAAGCTACTCATCGGCATGCCCACCTATGGACGCAGTTTCGAGCTGGTCAACGACACCCAATTCGATATTGGATCCCCCTCGTCCGGCGGTGGCAAGGCGGGCAAGTTCACCAACGAGGCTGGTTTCCTCAGCTACTACGAGGTCTGCTCCTTCCTGGCGGCAGACAACACCACCCTCGTCTGGGACTCGGAGCAGCAGGTGCCCTTCGCCTACCGTGGCAACCAGTGGGTGGGCTTCGACGATGAGCGTTCTCTCAAGACCAAGGTGAGTTGGGGGATTTTATTTTGAACCCTCGAAAAGTTAAAAAATACAACTAATACTATAATAATATAAGAAATAATACCTAAACTTTTACGTAGTCCTATGGACATTTTAAATGTTGTAATAATTTTGACCTCTTTTTCCATATTTTCAGACCGAATGGCTGAAGGAGCAGGGATTCGGAGGCATCATGGTGTGGTCCATTGACATGGATGACTTCTCCGGACGCTGCGGCAGTGGCAAGTACCCGCTGCTGACCGCCCTGAGCGACGAGCTGAAGGACTACAAGGTGGAGCTGGAATACGATGGACCCTATGAGTCCCACGGCCCACGAGGAGCCTACACCACCAAAGATCGTAAGTGGCTAGCTAAGACTAACCAAGTTATCATATAGTAACACCCAAATTCCCAACCAACCCAGCTCATGACGTGACCTGCGCCGAGGAGGACGGACACATCAGCTACCACAAGGATTGGGCCGACTGCACCCACTACTACATGTGCGAGGGCGAGAGGAAGCACCACATGCCCTGTCCCGCCAACCTGGTCTTCAATCCCCAGGAGAACGTCTGCGATTGGCCCGAAAATGTCGAGGGATGCCACACACCCACGGAGGCGCCCGCCTAAGACCCCCATCTCTAGGATGGATTTGTTAATATTATGAAATCGATGCCCTAGATTTAGTTGTAATGCGAAACTGCCACGAAACTCTTTTGCTGCCGCCGTCCCCTTTCCCCCCCAAAACTAACTACGAAAAATACTCGAAAACTTGCTAAATTTCGGCTAAATTTTTTGTACACTAAATATAGGTCTAGCTAGTGCTGTAAGTAGTTTTTATGTCTTAGTTACCAATTCGCACCCACAACAAAGATGAGAACGATGAACCCACAAACCAGAACTACTTTCTGCCAGGCCCAAAACTAACTTTCGCATTTCCGTATGACTCGTAACAAAAAGGTTTATATGGAAGATGCCCGAAACTTCCGTATAGCAAACTGTGATAATCATAAGAGACCAACACCAACCAGAAATCGGCCTAACAAGTCACTATCGAAATTTTGTCTAAAATCAAGCGAAACAGTTTTCCCTACAACACACAAAGCTTCCTGCTGCTTTTGCCCTAGCTCCTCATCTCATATACGCCCCCCTATCTGAATAATAATACAAACAGGCACAGAGAAAATTGTACATTTTCAAGTTTTAACAATAAATTTGTATTATAGAGTTGTAATTACGTAGTTAAAATAAAAAACACTTAAAAACAATAAACAAAACGGAGTTTTACGTTTTTAGTTATTAGAACATATTATTGAAGAGAGAGAATAACCGCTTCTATATGTATTTAAAACTATTTCTTCATATTTATTACTGATGGCCCCAGTCTTGCGACAGGGCACTACTAAAAATTATTTTAGACTCATTAGAGTGTTCCTCTCCACGGAAATCTTTAGTAAAAGGCGAAAGATTTATTCGACAATTGAAGAGAAACCAGAGTGCCGAATAACAATTTATATCAGCCACTCGACGCAGAAACTGCTTGAACCGGTTGGGAATTATAAGCACACCCGACAGATATATTTCGTGAAAAACTGTTGCTCTCTTTTGTGCTGAACCCTCCCTTGAATGAATTTGAGCGCACTTTTTGAAACGTGCTGTGCGCATGCCCTCTTTTGTATTGTTGGTATTATCCCTCTTATATTATATATATGCCTCTTATAATACCCACTTCCTACATACCGAAAGATCAAAATATTAAAGAATCAAATTACTTAATTCATTTTATTGTGTTTCGACGCTATTGGAACTGGTTAACTGCCTCCAGAATCGATTTTCAGGAGCCACCATAACAAGGAAATATCCAAATAAACACCAATAGAGTCATCCTTAAACAAACCAATATAAACACACGTTGGATTTAAAAATTTTATTATTTTTTTATTGGTTTTCTCAAAAAGTTTTTTATACATTTTGTTTTTCGTTTCAATTAAATAATTAGTCTTACGTTGATGTACACAATAATTTAAAAGTAAAGTACGCTGTAATCTTGACAAACGGAAAGAGAGGTAAAAAATACAAAAGTGTAAAAAATCAAGAAAAATATTGTAAAATTTGAGTAAAACTGAATTGCATAAACCATTTGATCTGATTAAATCGAGTTGTCAACAAGTACAAAATTAGTATAAATCACACTAAACTGGTAAACGAACCACAGCTTCTACTGATTTGAATATTTTTCTTTTTACTTTTTGTATAACACTTAGGATAGAATTGCCAAAATTGGAAACTTTTGCTTAGAGGAATTATGAGTGGACTCTGTAAAATTGGATCCTTTAGATTTGTTACTTTCGCTCATCGTTCATTCGTTGCAACAAAAAAATGATATCATTATGCAGTTTTCAAGAGTCTCGAAATCAAATTGTACTTAATATGTATTTAAAAGTTCCTTGCTTTCCCATTTCATGTGATTTGGTGGTGGTGCGGAGTAGTTGAAGCCTTTTTAGTATTCCTCGATCTCTCGTTCAGGCCCGATTTTGCGTTCGGCTTGCGACTTTCGGTTGGGTGATATGCGGCCGCGCAGGCGCAACGCGACTTTTGGAATTGGGTATGGAATATAGCGGGCAGGAGTTTTACAACTAGAGACAGACTTTCATTAGCAAAATATTGTACTCGGATGTTCAGCGCGTGCGTGTCAATACACATATATGCATTTAGATCATTGATCGCCATATGAGAGCGTATTTAAATATGGACCAACACAAATAGTTCGAATGTAGATATTGCGTGTCGCAGACTCTTTCAAAATGGATGTATGTACATATCACGCTATTGGCCTAGACAATTTCGTTCCGTTTAGATTTTAGTTGTTGCGGTTTTGGTTTCTTTTTCGTTTCGGTTTACAGTTTTTAGAGTTTTCAGTTTCAGTTTTCAGTTAGATTTGAGTATCTCGTTGAGCTACTTTCTAGAGTCGCGCTGTGCGTCGCTTTGCATGTTCCATGAACCAACATTTACATTTTCTTTACAAATACATAGTGTTTCTCTTCTCAATACATTTCGTTTTTGTTTTTTGTAAACTTTTTAAATTGTATTTAGAAAATTTGTGTTTTTTTTTCCTTTTTTAAAATATTTTGCTATAAAAAATACACAGTTTGAAAAATAAAAAACGTTTCTCGGTTGTCGTTCTTGCTCGTCTGCGCCTCTCACATTGCATTCTGTTCCATTTCTTTTCGGTTTTTTAACTTTGCCATGTTTTTTGTTTGTTTTTTTAGTTTACTGTAGGGGAGAAGAGGCAGGCGATCATTGTCAGACATGCTTTATAAACATTTGATGTGGTTCCTTGTTCACTTTCTTACGATCTCTACGTTTCTCATAATCCTTATCCGTCTACTCTGCATTGTGTTTATATTTTTTTGTTGTTGCTCAACGATTTTGCTGCTCTGTTGCAATTGTTTGTCATTACAGTTATTTATTGTTTTGCAAAATTTTACAATTTTTTTCTTTCGATTTTTTAATACATATTTATAAATACTTTCATCCTCTCTTAGCTCTGTAAAAATAGATCCATGTTTTCTCGGCTCTTACGCGTGATTTCTTTTTCCCTTTTTATGTATTTTTTGCATTTTTTAACAAATTTTTCAAATTTTTTTGCTTTTAAGTTTTTTTTTGTTTGTATTGTTTGCATTTTTTTGTATTTTTGCTTTTTCTTTTGGAGAGATTTCGTTTTCAAAAAGTTTTTGTTGTTGGTTTTATTTTTGTGGTTGTGGTTGTTTCTTTTTGTATTGTTTTAAATGCCTAAAATTTAGTTAAGAGCTAACATAACATTGGATATCGGTTCTTATCTTTTTTTTGTTTTTTGTTTGTTTTACGTTTCTTTTTCGGTTTGGCTTAACAATAAACATCTTCGTATTTTACTTGTTTATGGTTCTCAAAATGTCTTAGTCGTAATGAATGTTTCGCTTAGTGGCTAATCCGTTTAATCGTAGTCGCTTTGTGGTCGTGCGGAGGGTGGCTAAGTGAGCTGCGCGTGTTTCCAGAATCAGTTATCGGAATCAGTTTCCTGCTTCACGTTTGCTGCTTCCTGTTTCCGGTTTGTTTACCCTCGAGGTGCTCAGTTGGCCGCACTTGACATCAGTTCGGAGAAGGCGTTCTCCAGACAATTCTTGAGTTCAGCATAGGAGACGATGAGCACCGATTGCTCGTCGCGGGACATCAGTTGCACCTGCAAAATGGTCTGGCGTTAGCTTAACGAGTTCTCTGGACCCACTGGTCGACCTTTTCCGACTTTACTTACGCGCTCTATGGAGCCAGCATCCAGCTTGTTGAGGCATTGTACAATGTGTGCGTGATCTAGCCAGGGCCGGCCATCCTCAGTGACGGAATGGAACAAATAATCACGGAATAATTTCAACATGTATCTATCACCAGTCTCGGACCAAGTGCAGTCCAGATTGAAGCTGTTAGGAAAGTAAATTTAAGTTATGCCTTATTTCTTACAAAAACTGCTAGTGAACTTACTCGGGTCGCTCGTTGATGCTGTTTAGTTTGACCAAAATGCGGTACAGCCGGCCGTTCTCCATCTCCTTGGCCAGCTCATCCTCCTGCATATCGATTTGGCTCTGCAGGGCATCCAGTTGCGTATAGAAGCGGGCACCAATCATAGGCATCAGATCGGTCACTGAGCGTCGGTTATTCGTGGTGAAGAGGTAACTAAGAATACCAAAGGTTAATATATATAGTAGAGGAGCTATAAAAGCAGACATACACTATGAAGTTTCGCAGATCGGTGGAGTAGTTTCGCGTGACCATATCGATGCTCGACTGGACATTGTCGCGTTGCACGGATTGAAGGCAGCGACAGGCCAAAGCTAATACTAAGCGACCCAGAGCGGTCAGATCGTCCTAAAGGAATATTTAAAGCTTCTATTAATATAAATTTTATAGTAAAATAAACTAATATCTTACCTGCTGATGCATGTTAACCAGGGCCAAGGGATTGGCCGCATTCGGATCGAATTGCGTTATGTCCGAGATGCAGCAGGAGCTAAACCGTACCCGTTTGCCAGTCACTATAATCTTTGTGGGATCCAGAACCCTGTAAAGAAGGATATGTTAGCATATGGTTAAACAAATATCCTGTGGTTCACTTACTTGCAGGCAAGACCGGCATGGTGGATGGCCTTCAGGCCGGCGGTCAGCTGCATTATGATCGACCAGATGGTGGCCTCCGGCAGCAGTGGTCCATTGCTCGTTCGCTGCATGTTACTCTTATGACTGCAATAATCATATAGTTATTAGTTAAAACAAAACCGAAATCGTGGTCAAAGAATAACCCACCTGAAGGGGCGGGCCTCGCCTTGGAATGGATCAGTGTACCCGTTGGTCTCTGGCGCCGGTGTGAAGTATTTGGCCAGTAATGTTTGTGAGCCGGGATAATAGTCGTACACTAATACTAAAGCTGTGGGTGGCCCGATAAACATTATTGACATGGTAATTAGGGTTTCATTCACCTTAAATATCCCAAACTTCCTCCTTCAGCCTATCAAGTACCACAATATTTCAATCGGAATCAAGGTTAGCGCTCTGTCTTTATCGCCGATCGCCAAGTTAGGTTTTTTTGTGATAATTATACTTTGCTTAGTTAAGATTATGGATTTTGAAGTGTTGTACCATAATTAGCACTAGCAATCGCAATAGAATCCGGCATGCATTAATTATTACTTTTCGGAAAACATGGCCACCCTAAGATAGAAATCACCAAACTTATCTTGTAACTCTATTTACGTGTTGTAACCTTCTAGACATTACCCCATAATTATAGAGATGACATCGTCCTTAATTCCCAGGAGCAGCATTAAAACCACACTTATAGCTAATGGTTCCAAAGACCTCTCCCCACTTACAGTTATCACCAAATGCTTTCGTCGTGAACACCTCACGCAATTGTACCACATTCGTGTGCTGCAGCTTCTTCCACATCTCCACCAGCGTCATGCACTTGGTCGACTGCAGGCGGAACCCTAAAAACACGAATTAAAATTAATTAGTTAGGGGAATTTAAGGAATTCCCTAGAAGTACACACCATGTAACCTTCGCAGACAGTACTTGTAGCCCGTCGTGTTGTGCGTGGCCCTATAAGTGCTGGCGGGGAGCGTGAGCTTGGCGTGCATCGGCTGTGCCGGCGGCTCCAGCGGATACAGCGCATGATAGTTGTCCACCTCCATCGGCAGGGCGTGCTGCGCAGCCTCCGCTGCGTCCATAATCAGGTTGGAGATCTCGTTGCGGGCAAGGATTTCGGAGCGCATCTCGTCGGGCATAAAGAAGGCCGACTCCAACAGCGTCTTGGGCTGCAGGGTGATCACGTTGGAGGACGGCCCCGGATACACATGCCCCGTGTACATCATGGTCGGCGGAACTCCCGCGCTCATCGGTGCCACAGCACTGACGCCATGGTGTGCCGGATGCGTTGTGTCCACCACCACGGAATTGACAACGGGCTGGTTGTTCTGTGCGTTGGCAGTTGGATAGAAGTAGATGGTGCCGCCGACGTTTTCCTACAGATGGATATTGAAAATATAGAGTATTAGTAAGTGTTTATATTAAAGTCTTACATGTGTAGTTTAGAGATATAAATCATTCGAATGCTTTAAATTACTCCATAACAGAATATTGTTAGGTTTCCCACCAGTAATTAAAAACGCGAATTCTTCAGATCCCTGGTTTCTTTCAACTGGAATAGCACTCACCTGATGGACGCTGGTTGGCAGCGATGTGGGTATGGGCGATGCTCCGTGTGGCGTCATCCCATGCGGTGGCGACTTCTCACCGGGTCCTCCGCCCGAGAGCATTGCTGTCGTGGGCGATTCCTGGCGCAGCATGGCGCTTCGTCCCTTGAGCGGCGTCTGGGCGGACATGTTGCTGACGAATGGAGCGGCGGCGGGATTCGGCGGTGCGCCACTGATAGCAATGGGGGCTGAGGTGGCGGAAACCGCTCCACCGCCCACTGGCGGCGGATGCTGTTGCTGTTTCTGGGGATGCTGTTGCTGTTGTGCGATGGTGACAGTGGCGATTGAAGCGGACTTTTGCAGGGCGAGCATGGAGGCGCCGCCGTTGGCTGTTTTACTGATGGTCACCGAGGCGGAGGACACCGATGATGTGGAGGAGGGAACTGCGGCGGCGGCTGCTGCGGCGGCTGCTGCTGCTGCGGCTGCTGTTAACCCATTGACGCCGTTGAGCCCATTACTCAATTGCATGGGCGCGTGCTGATATGGTGCGTAGAAGTTGGGGGTTGAGCTTATGCGCGTTGGAATGAACTCGGGCGACTGCGGCGTGACCTATGGGGAATCCATTGAAGAATATTTGTTAGTAAAAACTCTAAATAAATGTTTCGATTTTCTAATTCGGCAAGAGTTGCCTCAAATTGGTAGCCTTTAACTTGGTTTTTTCAAGTAAATAGCACAATTAATTTTCCGATTTCAAATTAAAAAGAAAAATTTAAAACCACTTGAGTAATCTCTTGCCAAATTCGACAATTAAGACACACCTGTAAGGAACACATAGATAGACACTTTTATACATTTCGGAGGATAAGACTAAATATAGTAAGACTAAACTACTACACTAAAGGGCTAATATAATAAACCTCTACGGTAACATTTACAGGTCTAACGCATTTCGTGGATGTCACAGAAAACAATGGGAAGGGGAACCAGATATTTACGGCTTTACCTGGGACTTTTTATTTAGGGGCGAATCCAAATTAAGTAGTGAGAACCCGTTATTCAGCCCATAACCGCTCGTTGTGGCGACATTCTGTCGGTTCTGAGATGATACACCAAAAATCGGAGTAGACGGATAGATAGAAATTCAGAGAAATACAAAGAAAACAGAGAGAATAATTCAGTTGTGCTGGGTATTGAAAATTAAAGATAGCAGAGCAAATTATAAATGGATCATAAGAGTTGTAGTTATGGATGGGGTTTAAGAGGATTGTTCAAAATATCGTTAGTTTAAGTGCTGTCTGCTAAAAATACTACTTTTTCGAGTGTTTGTCTCGCCTATGCAACCATTATCTTATCTGAAGTCCACAACTTGAAATATCAGACATTGCAGTGCCATTACTATTAAAGACTGAGGCTCAAAGTCTTTTGTATTGAATGCTTTTTACGATAAAGAATTTACTTATTCGAATCTTATAATTTTCAGTGCAATATATATAAATGAACTCAAAACTCATGAGATTCATTATAACTATATATTTATAAATTTTTATATAAAATAAATAGAGTTTTGGTCCCCAAAGTCTGGCTTCCTATGTGGATTAAAATATAACAATTCCATTAAATTATCAAGAATGGCACATATGCCCCATATCTTAATTTCTGGGTCCATTATAACTACAAAAAGTCTCAGAATTGCGTATATTTAATTGATTAACATTTGTCATGGTATTGCAGCTTATTCTCATTGAATTGTTCCATTTGATTTGATGATCTTTGAATTTTAAAAGTGAATTGAGCGGCAAATGTACCGCCTATTGCCATTAATTTCCGTACATTTTTCCATTAGCACAATTCCATGGCAATTATGCGGTTCGCACATTAAAATTTTATTGTTAATAATTCTCGAGCTTTTCAAGATTCGCAAAACTTATATGTACAGTTTGGCTAAACCAGAGGGAATACAAAAAAATCCATGCATAAACACAAATTGATATTTAACGTGCATATACGACTCTATATGGCACTTTGTGTGTCAATGGACCCAAAAATAAAATAAGAAATAACCGAAAAAAGTCGGTCAAGTGTATATTATGTGCGACTGAGCGTTGAAATTGAAATGGTTCGAGTAAATTGAGTGAAAACAAATAAAGCATAATTAAAAATACTTGAGCAAACGTGGCCAGCTGTTAACTTGGCCGCCAACAGCTGGTTTCAGTGGGTGGCTTTTTGCTTGGGTTGTTATTATTATCTTCCCCTTAAACTGTTATCGCCTTGTTTTCGTTCTCATTTTTGGGGGGGCGGGGAACTTTGATAAAAAGTTTTGGGAGGCAGGGAAAAGTAAACTTACCATATAAGTTGCGAGTTTACTCTCTGACGGTATACCATTCGTTGGCGAGAAGAAAATTGGATCCATAGCAGCCGTATCTACAAAACAGAGCAGGAAAGAGAAGGAATTATTATAGAGAGAGTTGCGTTACACACGATAATTGATTAGAAATCAATTAAGCAAACATCAACATGAATACTATGTGTGTGTGGTGTTTGTGCGATAAGCCTACCCCATCAAACTATTCCGCACCCCCTTCATCTCTCTACCCGAAATTTTTATATATTACTTGTTATTTTCCACAGTTATCGATACGACGATAACGCGCGTAGACCCCAACATTTTTGGAGTATGCGCAATATGTATGTATTGTTGTTTTGGTTCTGGTTCTCCTGCTTCTTCTTGGGACTCCAGGTCAAAGCAAATGAAAGCCAAGACGCAATTTCTGCGGTAAACAACCGAGCCGACAAACTTAGAATTTAGCAATTCGCGTATTTAACAAAAAAAATAATACAGCAGGGAATATATATATAGAATCTGTACATGTTTTAGTGAGGTTACTCAGGTGTTAATCACAATACCTTCCTCCTATGTAGACCACTCGGAAGCAGCACCGTCATGACTAATCAACGTTTCTATGCTGAATTCATACTCTGCTCATAAAGTTCCCTGATTTTTGAACGCCTCCTCCTCCACCGGATATCTGAGTGTTGAATCAATGCTAAGCAGACTCGAATCGTTTCGAATGCAAGTGACTTTGCCTTGGCCAAACACCGAAAGTGAAAAATTCAATTTCAAAAGCGAAACATTTGATTCGGGGTACGGGGCCAATGCCTCTTGCCAATGTACGAAGAGAAAACAAGTGATATTGGCCTTGAATTCGCTATATAGCTTATACACGAACACGTAAAAACATTTTATATTTATATGGAGCAGGTTGTATTCGCTAGTCGTGCATTTTCGGGGAGGCAAACGACAGCCAGAGAATATATTGAATAATTGACTGAATATTTATAGGCCTTATTCGGCATTTTCGACATTAAATAACTGCCAATATGTGGAATATTTCCCTAGCATTAAATATGTCAAATGGAATATGGTAATTTTTATATTTTAAACGAAGTTAGATATAACAAGTTTGTAAAAATAATGAAAAATTCTATATTTAAGAGAACATCCTTTAAAATATCAAAAATATTCCCAGACTTCAAAAAAGAAACGGTATTTCAATCATAAGGGGGTTAATCATTTGTTTTCTTCTATAGGGTACCCAGAATTCATGGACCCAAAATGTTGTTTACAAAATGCGAGATTACTGTTGCTGTTGATGATGATGCTCTGGCCATATAAGCAATAATTCGTAGCCTGATTTTATTTATTTGACTTCGAATTGAAAAACAAACACACAAACGAACAGAACGCAAACGATTTAATTGAATGCCTACATATGCTAATGGTAATTATTATGTGTGCTTTCATTTATTTATATTTTGTGCACTGGGCTGGGTAATTAGTGGGAGGAGCAGGTGGGCGGCGATAACCTGTTAAGGCAGGGCGACAGTTTTGAAGCCACAATCAGGTGTCGTCTACGGTTTTGCAGCCGAAAACTTACTTGAACATGGCCAGAATCAAAGTTGTTTTACACTCACTTTACATAAATCGTTAGCCACTGGTTGTTTGTTGGCATGACGTCGGCAGAAAAAACTATATAGCTATGTGTCTATATTTTAGGGTTTACGTGAGCAAGTTTGCCGTTCGGTTATATATATAATATACATATATCTACACATAGAAAACCGATGATTATTGGGCCGTTGCCTTATGCTGCGTTTCGCGGTGAAATGGACAGCTTTAGCTTTGTTTTGCTTCAAAGATCACGAACGCGTTCATGAAAACGCCACACTCAGATATATACGGTCGAGTATATATACATATATATATATAGATAGTCACACGTTTGGGGAGCAGGCCAAACAATAACAAAAAGTGTGCTGTTACGTCACTTAAAGTGAATATGTAGATGTGGCAGAGCGGTATGGATGGTCTACCATTTACATTTACCGTTTACCGCCCAGCTCAGCTCACTGAGTTGCTATTATTCAAAAAGAGGGAGAGCCGCGCAATTGTTTTTGTCTTTGGCCGGCGCAAGTGTAAGTGTAATGAATATGCAAGCGGTGAAAATAACACATCGGATCGGTTCGAAAATCGGGGAACCAACAGACCATCGATCGCGCCACGAACCGAGCGGCAGCGCAGCGTTCTCTAAACTGAAAACCCCAGCCGCCTTTTTGCTTTGGGGAAACGCGGCTACGAACGACGGCGCACAGTGGTCGAGATGGTAGAAATAGGGGGGGAAATATTTTACTAGATTGCCAGTACAGATTTTTCCTTTGTTTGTTTTTTGTTTTTTAGCTCATGTTGAAAAGGCTATTTTCAAATTTTGCCTCAATACGAAATGAATGAAAATGACTTATATTTAATTTTAGAAGATGACATTCCAAATGTATATCTCTAAAAAGTTGAATTGTAAGAATATGACTTAATTGTTTTTTTTTTTTAATTCATCTGAATACTTACATTTTTTATTTGTGGTTCATAAATCATTGAAAGTATTTACTTATTTTCAGCTCTACTGGCGATGATGATAAAAAACAAACGGTCTATATTTTTTTAAGAAATAAGTCCTTTTTTGAGGCTAAATTTTAAAATGTTATTTTGAAATTGCAGAAGTTTTGTAGTTAAAATAGAAAGAAATTTTGAAGTTTAAGTTTACCAACTGTTGTTTGTACCAAAGCTAGTTTAACCCACTGTGCCGAGGGACCCAACAGAGACAGAGAGAGAGAGAGATAGAGAGGGGGCCAAACCAAGAGCAAGAGTCTTGGCCCCACAGTGCGTGTCAAACTGTGTGACGATGACAGACGAGCGGCGAAGACAAAGTGGGCGTGTGTGGTGTGGGCTCTGCTCGCTCGTCCGCCCGATTAACTGTACATATGTGGCCACAGCTGCAGTTGTTGTAGTTGTTTTGATATTGCTACAGATACAGTCAAACCCTCATACCTTGATTTTTACCAACCGAAGTTGGTCAGCAGAAGATCTATTCAATGTGATCTTTTACCTTAAATTATCAAAATTTCAGTTTCTATGTAAAGATATTCAAAATAATAATACTTTGAGTTTTTTGTGGAATATATTTGCATGTGCTATAAACAATATTTTGAGCATTTCCAGATCATGAATTTGGTAATTTTTCTAAACATATGCTGGCAGCTATCGTGGTAGTTAGAAAATTAACATTAAAAACAACTAAAAAACTGGTCTATCAATCATTTTCGCCAATTATTATGTCGCTTTATCAAGCTGGGAAACGTATTTATATCTACTTATAATTTTCCCATAATTGTAGTTTGTATTACTAAATTCCACTGTACTGGGAAAGTTCAAGCTCTGCAGGCACACGCGCCACAGTAAGAACAATGAAAATCCATTGGCGTTGTTTGTTTGTTTGTTTATTTCTCTTACAGCACCGAAGTGCCCACAGTTTGAGAAGCGCCCAGCCTCGGTTCCAATGACCCTTATATCCCCCGAATGCATTCCTTACAAAAATTAAGATCGTTTCGGGCTTGATAATATAAAGATCAATATTTATTACCTTACTTAAAAATAGATTCGTTTTGATATTTTCTCTAATATCAGGTTTACTTTTAAAGGGAAATAACCTAACGATTATCAATATTTTTGTCGATGCAATCATGTGTTAGTCCATCTCCGAAACAAGTATTTTGCGGATTCTAATTATGAGAGTGGGGCGTGCTCGCGGCCTGTAAGCGATCATCTGATAAGTTCACATCCAAATGGGGAGCATTTTGGGAGGGAGGGGGTTTACCAACACACGTGGCCATCGCTATATGGCATGCAAAGCTCCCAGTGTAATAATAATTCACTCGCACACATTTGTAAGTACATTATAAATGAAATATTTATAGCCAAGGCTCTGGCTTCATTATCAGCCCAACCGCAGTCAAACGCTAACACACTCAAATCTGTGTACATAAAGACAGATACCTATAAGGTGTACATAATGGTAACTCTAGGCACATATTAATTGGCCCCAACATGATTTCCTGTGATCAGATCATAACAAATGGGTAGAAACCAAATGTTAGGAGACCAAAAGCCAGAACTACGAGCCCCCCTTAAAGTGTCATTCGAAGTTAGATGATAAGGAGACACTTCACCTACAAAGGAAAAAGATAAGAACCCATAAGTCAAGAATATGTATTTTGTGTAATTGAAAAAATAATAGAGTAGAGAGAGAGCAATTTCGTTTTAAAGATAACAAGAACCTATGGGTTTGTCAAAGGAGAAGTTCCGATAATATAGGTTCTTCCTAAAACAACAACTTGGCAATTAGTTTACAACGCGTTTGGCACCATACATTATAAATAATAATAGCTTCAGGTTAATAGTGATCAAGTGAGAGATTAACACCTTCAAATGACTTTATTGATGAGTGAAAATGTACTAAAGAACAAATTGCTTTTAATAATGAAGCAACTTAAAACATTGCAGTCGTTAGGTGGCAAAACGAGTAAATAATGCTCGATGCGCTTGAACTTTGAGCTTTGCTTTGCTTTTAAGATAATATTTCCATATTTACTGCTGATTATTTTAAGTGTCTATGTAGCACTTAAAGTTTGTCAAAACCAATAGTGAGTTACCATAGAATTTTTTTATAGGGGTTTGTCAATTATGACAACATGACTGTTTTGACATATTAAATTGAAACTTGGAATACAATCTGGTCTACAAAGTGCTTTTATCTATTACTCGTAGTTTTGTAGTTACATTTCTAGCTATTCTTCTTTAATTTAAAATGGTTTAGTTAAATGTTTTCTCACGAGTCTTCTTCCATGTGGTTAAGAAATAAATTAATTCCGCTGGTGGGAACCCATCAACGATATTGCTCTTCTGCCCGGCTTCTGTTCTCTGGGCCGCGTCTCTAAACTTAGCCAACAGAACCGTAAACCGCTTGTCAATCGCTTTTTACTGCCGATCGCAATCTGAGCTCGATATCGGACAAAGCTAACCTCAGAGAGCT